GGGTCAGTGTCTAAACCCAATGGGCTAGTATTTCCTCAAAGAAAAATCTTTATCTTAGAGGTTCCTTTTGGGTCTAAAAAAGTACTATTTTATTTTGTATTGGTGCTGATGTTGCAAAATGATCAGGCAATTGCCACTAAATGTCTACTAAATGTCTTTGCAATTGTTGGAATGAAGAATAATACAGCAGCCTTTGGCAGATAGCTTGGGGGGATATTATCAATTAAGAAGACCATCATTTGCTGTATTGGGAAGAAATAATGCAAGGTGATTTATAAATGAAATGTCCCAACAAACTGAGTCCAGATATCACTTTTCTGCTTTTTGTTACTTATGGAACAATAACCTGCATTTACAATATAGTTTAGGTTATACTTATGAAGAAAATAGGCTATCCCATCTGCCCAAAATGGTGATTCAAGGATAGAATTGAGCCATGCTTCGAAAAAATTGTGCTGTTCAATTCAGCCTTTCTGGTTTCCCGCATCTCCATTTTTCATCTAATCAGAACAGTAATTGTGACTATGCATGTGGATGTTCTTCACATCTATTTTTGTCTGAATTTTATACTTTGCACTGGAATTCTAGAATAATAAAATATCACAATACTTGATAACAATAAAAGCTGACCAGCTTATAACCAAATAAGCTGGCACTTGAAATAAAATTTCTAACAATAACGTAGGATCCACCCAATCATCTAAGACTTTGTAAAGGACTTGATGTTAGAGAGCAGTAGCATGGATAGTATCTGATATAATAGTGGAATGTAGGTAAATTATTCAACCATGCACATACCGAAGAAAATTGTTTTCTTTCTTTTAATTTGACCAGAAAAAGAAAAGAATCAGGAAGAGATGAAATATGAAAATGAAGCACATTTCTTTAGAGAAGGGGTTTGTCCTTGCAACACAGAACCCCCTTCTCCACACACACAGACACAGACACACACCTGAGAACAGGTTTTTCTCTAACCCAGCATTAACAGCAGACATATGCAATTCTCACAGCATCAAAGAGTTTTTGCTTTTACAAAGAGGGAAAATAACTTTGACAAGCATGCACCCTTAGTTATGCTAGGTTACCTCTTCACTACTAGTATCAGCTATTTTAAGATGTTTTAATTGCCTTTAGCTTATCGCAGACAGGTAAGCAACTCAAATATCATTTCCTGTGATATTATAAATGCAGATCCAGGCTAATGTGGGAGAACCAAATAGTTGAAATAATTTTGAAACCAATTAGGTATTGCCTGCTTTAAATAAAGAAAGGGCACTGAAATTGTGATAGCAACAGAACAAAGCAGATTTTATTTTTTTATAAATCTCTTCAATTACATCATTCCTGGTTAGGTAATCACTCCTTGCAAAACACTGAACTATTATGATGATGATTGCACATGTGTGAAATGTTTAAAGAGATAAGAAGAGCTGAACAGAAAAGGAAATAAGTGGATGACGAAAAATGATTAAATCTAACTTGGCTGAATGGCACAGCCAAAGGAACTGTTCGGAGACTAATCGGACAAAAGCCCTCAAGAATATGCATCCCACACCCTCTCCAGGAGAAATTAAGAAGAACTGAGCTACTGATATGAATGCCTTAATTAATTTGAATGCAACATTCTCATTCACTTACTAAATGCCTTTTAATTTTAAAGCCTCCAGGTACCTTACAATATATATATAACACATCATAAAACTAATACATCAGTTCTAACCATTGGCTAAATGTATAGAAGCCAAAGGGTAAACAATAAAAGTAACTTATGTAATAAAAAAATAGCACGCATTATAATTCCAGAAAATGGCCAACTAAAGTAAGTACTTAAGCCACTTTTGAAGCTACAAAGTGAACCACTTCTCATTTTTGTAAGGTATTTTACAAGGTGGGGGTTACTCAGAATAAGGTAGTGCCTCTCATAAGACCAGGAATGTGGGCTAACAAGGACGACTCATAATCTTAGCAAATAGGCAGATTCATATGGATACCCTTATGTTGGATGCAAACATAGATCAAAACAAGCAATTCTGTGCCGTTTATTTAGTGCCATTTAGCACAAAATTCATTTCCCATGTTCTGAATTAGATTAAAGACAGACTACCCCAAGTGAAGAAGTTTCTTGAGGTAGTCTGTCTTTAGGTAGGACTATACGAATCAACCAAAGTTGTTCAATGCGGCTTCCAACTCTTCCTCCTTCCTATTCTCCCACAGACTTCTAAGTGCCTCTGTGGTCACTTGGTCATTTTTTTCTCTCACTAAAATGATCGTGCTCTTCTCCATCCTCACATCCCCCCACAACGAAAGAGGCAGATACTAACTTTGAAACATGTATTCTGTAATTTCTTTTCATGAAATAGCAAATGAGCATCAATGAAAAGAAATAAATGGGAAATTAATTTTTCACTGTTAAGGTAAATTGGAATAAATGTATCCAGAGCATACTAGAAAAAAATACCATTATTCTTAAATAATCTTAATGATACAACTCCTCTTCTCCTTTTCAGTTACTAATAGAACATTAATAAATACATTACAGCACTATGAACAAAAAATAGCAAATATGTATTCCCTCCCAAGAAACATTGTTTATGGCAAAGGTGGGTGGGGGCACAATTAAGGAACACAGAGAATGTGTAGTGTGTGTGTGTGTGTGTGTGACACAGAGAGAGAGAGAGAGAGAGAGAGAGAGAGAGAGAGAGAGAGAGAGAGAGAGAGAGAGAGAGAGAGAGAGAGAGAGGAGTACTGCAGAAAGACTGTCCATTGTGAAGGTTAATAACTAAATGATAAAGACTGAATGTCATAAGAGTTATATCCAACACTGACTATATTAGGACATTATTCTGCAAGTGTTTTGGACTCCAGAAATACTTCATTATATGTATGTAAAGTCTTGACTGTTAAAGGGAACAAAACAATAATATAAACTATCCTAACCATCTGCCATCCTAACAGAATTAACAAAAGGTANTTATTTATATTTGAATTTATATCCCGCCCTTCTCCCGTAGGACTCAGGGCGGCTGACAATCTATTTAAAATACATACAAAACAATACAAATTTAAAATTAATTAAAAAGAATATTAAATATTTGTCGAATTTAAAATATAATTAAAACCCCCCTAAAAATTACCCTAGGCCAGTCCTGCAAGCTGGAATAACCAAGTCTCTATGTTGGATGCAAACATAGATCAAAACAAGCAATTCTGTGCCGTTTATTTAGTGCCATTTAGCACAAAATTCATTTCCCATGTTCTGAATTAGATTAAAGACAGACTACCCCAAGTGAAGAAGTTTCTTGAGGTAGTCTGTCTTTAGGTAGGACTATACGAATCAACCAAAGTTGTTCAATGCGGCTTCCAACTCTTCCTCCTTCCTATTCTCCCACAGACTTCTAAGTGCCTCTGTGGTCACTTGGTCATTTTTTTCTCTCACTAAAATGATCGTGCTCTTCTCCATCCTCACATCCCCCCACAACGAAAGGGGCAGATACTAACTTTGAAACATGTATTCTGTAATTTCTTTTCATGAAATAGCAAATGAGCATCAATGAAAAGAAATAAATGGGAAATTAATTTTTCACTGTTAAGGTAAATTGGAATAAATGTATCCAGAGCATACTAGAAAAAAATACCATTATTCTTAAATAATCTTAATGATACAACTCCTCTTCTCCTTTTCAGTTACTAATAGAACATTAATAAATACATTACAGCACTATGAACAAAAAATAGCAAATATGTATTCCCTCCCAAGAAACATTGTTTATGGCAAAGGTGGGTGGGGGCACAATTAAGGAACACAGAGAATGTGTAGTGTGTGTGTGTGTGTGTGTGTGTGTGTGTGTGTGTGTGTGACACAGAGAGAGAGAGAGAGAGAGAGAGAGAGAGAGAGAGAGAGAGAGGAGTACTGCAGAAAGACTGTCCATTGTGAATGTTAATAACTAAATGATAAAGACTGAATGTCATAAGAGTTATATCCAACACTGACTATATTAGGACATTATTCTGCAAGTGTTTTGGACTCCAGAAATACTTCATTATATGTATGTAAAGTCTTGACTGTTAAAGGGAACAAAACAATAATATAAACTATCCTAACCATCTGCCATCCTAACAGAATTAACAAAAGGTAGATGCTCCTAAATTATGGCTCAGTTGCGTGGAAGAGAAATTATTTTTCATAGATAAAAATTATTAGTATGAAGACAGTAATTAAAAAGCTCCTAATAGTTTATATCCAGATAAATGCTAGTCAAGTCAAGGCAAGATGAGACAGGTAGAATTGGGGCAAGGCGATTTATCCCAGCAAACACAATTCAACCGTTTTTTGAAAGAAGATTTTGGCCAAACGGTAGTCATTAGTAAAATAAGTGCTGCAGCACTCGAACAATTTCACATGTGCAAGTGTTAAGAATTGCAAAATTACAGCACATGAAATGACACAATAGGCAATCTCTGCTTTGGGAAGGATTGCATAAAAATTTAATTAGCTTTCATCTCCAGAGATTATAGACCTCTTCAGGTCACCACTGAGGTTACTGGTGGAGCAATAGGCAACTGCAGCTGCCTCCCCATTGGACCTATGTTTGCTTAGCCATCAGAATAATTCATTCTAATGATAAAAGGAGGGTCACTGGGACAAACAGTATTGGGTGAAATGCTGCAGCATGACAGATAACTTTGCCTTTCATCTGTCCAGTATCTTAAATCGGCTGGCACTCAAAGAGCACAGCTTTCAACGGACTTGCGATCTTTCCTTAGCCTTAGTCAGTAGGGAACTAATCGGCTCTTGGTAGGAGAAAGACAATGCTCAGCACTCGTAGGATAGCAAGAATCACCCATAAATAATTCTCTGCTGTCTTCTCCATATTTTGCTGTCCTGGTGTGTTACACCAGCAACAGTATTGCTGTACGCTAACCAAAAACACATCCCCATATCCAGACACACAGGTAAAAGCAAATATTCTGTATAGGTCACAATAATGAACATTTCTTACATCAGTCAGTTGCTTAGAGCGGCCTGGGACGACTGAACTGGAGAACTGTCTGTTTCCTGCCTTTAAAGCAGCATCTTTTCTTGCTTGTTCCAGCAGGACTCTTGCCCGTTCTTTTAACTCTTCTTGTCTTGATAACATTCGTTGCTTCAAAATACATAAAAGGCAAAATATGTCATTACTGAAAGACAACAAAGCCCCAAATTAGCCTACCTACCCTATGGTACTGTACTGCTCTGCTAAGAAAAGCAGAGGTATTCCAGGCAACTTTCCAAGAGAAATAGAAGACAGAAAACCAGTAAGAAAGGTTGCTTGCTTGTGGCTTAAAATCCATTTTAACCTAGAGGGCCATGACAAGTTTCTACAGCATCCAGAGAAATGCATTCCAAAAGTTAACAAGGCCAGGATTCCAATTTGTTTTAGAGGAGAACTATATTTCACTCCAGTAGGGCGAAATGAAGCTATAACTTTTATTTTCCCCCCTTAACTACCACCATCCAGCCCTCAAACAGCAATTTTCTGGGACTTATCCATTGAAGGAGGATTCTAGGTACGCTGGTGAGCTGCACACAGCTTCCTGGCTGCCCTATCTAATATTGGACGCATTATGAAGATCCACTAATTGAAAACCACTGCAACTGTGAAGAGGCTGGGCCAAGCAAAGAGCAACAGAGGTTACCCCTTCCTGTTTGGCCTATGTAAGAAATAACCGAGCTGTAAATTAGCAGAATTTCCACAGGGCAACAATACTCCCCAAAAGAAGTCCAAGCATTTGTAGCCTTCTTGTGCTGCGTTGGACTGGTTCTGCCTCTCTTACTCATTAGTTCAGCTTTGTGCCAGATTGTCTACTGCTTTGCTTCAAGCAAAAGAGAGTCTGGGCCAGCTGCAAGAATAGGTGTGTGTGGAATGGTTGCTACAAAATATGTTAGGGAGTCATGTCAATGTTGAGGGAAAAAATCTCGTCTTCCCCTCTTTATGACTTACTATAACTAAGGAAGGTATCAGAAAAGTCTTCTAAGGTTTTGTGATATAACATTATTGGATGTACACATTAAAGATTTGGGATGAGAGCAAGAAGCATCTTCCAATATTCTATAGCAATTCTAATTCTTCTAAGCATTTTTTTTTACATGCAATCCTATCTTTGAAACATGGGATGGAATTGGATGACGAGAGAGAAATTAGCTTGCTATGCACAGCAGAACTATAATGACTGCAGACTGTTATGTAGCCAGTTTGGGAGGATTTGTTCCTGTCAGTTGTTTAAAAAGTCAGTTTGTCAAAATTCAACAGATAGGAGAAGAGACTTGGGGAAAAACAGAGTCAAGGGCATGAAGATTTCAGGAAAGGAGAGCGATCCCAATCAACCAACCTTGATGTCAAGCTCCCCAAGAGATAAAAGAGAGTGGCTTCCCTTCCGAGTTGGGGATGGGGCTCTGGGTAACATTCAAAAGGGAAAGAACTGTAGACTGTTCCCTCGTTGTGCTTCTCTACTTTCTGAGGCAGTTTCATGGAGCTTCTTAGGTAGGAGGCAATCAGAATTAGGGGCCAAATATGAGGCCTCCATTTGTTGGGAGAATGGAAGAAGAGCCACATTCAGTTTGCAGTCCTCTTTATGTTTTCACGGGATTAAAATTCCATATCATCGTACGAAACCCTTTTCCTAGAAGATCTGCTTAGGTCACTATGATTGTAGGAACCAGTTATTGCCTTACCTAGTAAAATCTCTGCTGAAGCCCCATTTGTATTTGAGATGGCAAATAGCAACCCCCCACGCCAATCTGATACTTAACAGGGTAGACAGGAATATCAATAATGTTTTTTTTAATAATAGTATAATGAGTATTTCCCTTCCCACTGGACTAAGACAACTCTAGGTGAGATCCAGATTCACCAACTGTGAAAAAAATGCTGTCTACATGTAAGACTTTTGACCCAGAAGAAGAATCTCACTCGTAGATCTTTTTTAGATCACTCCTGTAGTAATATCTTTATCTGTTTCTGAAAATGGCCCCTTAGCCTCGCCTAGCATAATTCTGATGAAACAAAATGTTACTGAAATTGAATGCAAGAGAAATTGTAATAGAAGTTATACTATTGTGAAAATAGTTTCTGATTCCTTACCTGTGCAGTTTTTCCAGGCAGATCTGTTGGATGTATCACTGTTTTGGCCTCAAACTGTAGCTTAGTCTCCAGTTGCATATCTAATTTATTAATATCCACATCCCTATTGTTGGGATATCCAGATTTATTTCCCATTTCTAAATTTGTTTTTTCAACGTGTAACTCAGAATCCAATTTCCTACTATCTCTAAGGCTGAGGTGCTCTTGTATTGCAGGTTCTGAGAAACAAATGGCAGTGTCAGAATTCTGATATCCTTTTTTGTCAATATCCTCATCTATAGTTGTGGGAAGTGCATCCCTTTTTAGATCGCTGATCTGCATGAGGTCACTCAGGTCTAGAGTATCTGCTTTGAGAAGCTTTTTCCTTCCCAACAAGGGCTGTGTTTGTGCTGCACTGTTTTTTTCAGGCTCTGCTATTCCCGAAATCCTTCCCTGTTGTTTTTGTGGTTGCTGTGCATCACCTGTAGTCCTGTGAGGAGAGGTCAAATTTCGTGACTCAGCTGTGTCTTGAGGTTCTCTGTCTCTTTCTGACTCTAGAACTCTGCTGTCATTTACAAATACTGGGTCTTTCTGGAAATCAAAGGCTGCCTGCTGCAGTTCTGGCTCTCGTTTTAGGTCACTTAGTTCTGCATAGAATTTTTCCTGGTCAACAGAGCTGTTTGTGTCTGTTTCATAGTTGCCGACTTTATATGTGCTTTTGCTACTGTTTTCTTCAATCTGAACTACATTTAGCTCCAGTCCACTGAAATGTGCCCGTATTTGATACAGATAGGTCATAACAGTCAGCTTGTCAGGAATGGCTAACAAAACCATGTCAGAAGGTTCCAGTAGCCGGGATATTCCCAAGCTAGCAAATCCATCGTACGCCTTAAAAGAAGAAGCAAAAACAGAGTTAGTATTTTTGATATATAAAACTCCTGAAATGTATGATAATTGTCAGGAGATGCATAGGATTCTGAGTTTTCTTGGATTTTGCCATTTATTTGCTTTAAATGAGATATGGACAAGAAACTGCTGCCATTAAAAGTCTCATGATGCAATCAGTAAAATGGCTTGTTTAAGCTAGAGCACAATCCTAAAAACAAAATAAGTATTGATTAAAAAATATAGTAATTTTAAAGTAGGCATGTAAATAGACTAAAATCGGAAGCACTTTTTTAAAATGAGTCTTTCAGTCAGAAGAGTTCAACTTGCATTTCTCCTCTCTTTAATGTTGCTGTCAGGTTCAGCAGTAGGGATCAGCACACTTGAGCTGTTAGTTATGACCCAAGCCCTTCGGAAGTTCACTGATTGATCCTGCCACTGACCCTAAATACCACCTACAGCTATCTGGGTCCAACACTCCTAACAATGAAAGCCATATTTTTAATTTCCATGCCACGTCACTGGGATCTTGACAATACTTTACAGGTATTGTAGGAGAATCAAAATGCCAGACACCAAAAGCATTGCCTGAACTTTAAGGCAACCTGAGGCAAGGCTACCTTCTAAATACTCAAACATGATGATTCAATATGGGTTTGAGTTTGAACAAGAAGGAATTGCCATCTTTTTGACACACTTGACTCTCCTATAAAACTACTTTACATGGATAGTAAATGAGATGGTATCATTTTAATGATTCTACTATTTTTAACTGCTGGAAAATGTTTATTGATTGATTGCCTGGGGAAAAAAGGTGTCTTCACATGAAAAATGTAGCAAAGGCTATAACCATTCTCCCTAGTATCAAATGTTCGCTATGCAGGAGCATTTTTTGTGTAGAGGATAATACACTTCTTTGTATTCTCACCTGAAATAAAAAATTGCATGCTCCAATCTGTGAGAATTCAGCTAAGAACTGAGGTGACCTGGAGCAATCACAAAACAAAGATGATGTTCATTCCATTTGGGCTATATGCTCAGTAACCTTTAAAATATTGATTTTAACCAGACTTTCAGAATATCACACTGACATTATGCTTGTAATGTATTATTGCTCTTGGAATTCCTTTTATTTCTATATCCTGATATTGCTCATATTTACCTTGTGCATTGTGAGCCAATTTGGATATTTTCCATTGTGGAAAAATGGTATATATAAATGAAATTCTAATCTCTCGCTGCATGAGAGAGAGAGATGCATAGAATAGAGTAATCAAGATATAAAATGCAGGATGACCCAGTGCGGATAGAGACAAGAGTAGGCTCTATTCTTAATGTTTTAGAGGCAGAGAAAAAGCATTTAACCTTCTCTGATAGAATAATGTAAGATGGCACAATCCACCCTAATGCACACATCCACTAAAACAGTCTTGCAATATATAGGTGTAACTTCACTCGTAGTGCTATAAGTATTTGAGGTTGGTTCCAATGATATTTTTCTACTGATGTAATAGAATTTCTCAGCAGACCAGAACCCCTTACCCATGTGGACCAATGCAGCAAATGCAGAAGGTATACAATCAGATACAGGGATAAAAAAATAAAATCCAATAAGGCTGCTTGCTGTAATCTTTTGCTGGAAATTATTATTACAGGGAATTTTAAAATAGATGTTGTTCTATCCAGCAGACTTTAGAGTCATACAAAGCCCCAGCAATTAAAGAAATAGCCTATAGCTGGAGAAAAAAAAACCATGGACATGCAGACTGGTTTTTAAACTAAGAAACTAAGATAACAAAGATAGAAAGAAACCTGATACTAATCCATTGTGGGATTTATGCTAGCTGACCAGCCTTCTATTAGCCATGAAATTGCTGTCATTTAGCTTGGATTGGTTAATTGTATAATAGAAAACAAAAGCTCATCTGTGTAAAACTGTCTGCCCATCCCTCCATCCCTCCATCCATCCCTCCATCCCTCCATCCATCCATCCATCCATCCATCCATCTTCCTCCCTATTTTTCCTTTGTAGAATAGGCATTGATTAATTCATGTCTATCAAACTGCTACGGAGCTTTAAGCTAAAAAACGAGACCAACTCTACTCCTATTCCATTAAAGAATGTACTTGCATCAAGTTTTTCTAGTTTTGGAGAATCACAGCTGTTTCTCAATTTACAGGTAATTATTACTAACCAAGACAAGGTTGGGAAAAGTATTGTGTTTCAAGAAAGGCTTTACCAAAGGGACTGTGGGCATAACTTCAGCTTTATCGGCACTTCTGCGAAAAACAGCACAAATTTTGATATTTACAAAATGTCTTTCTAGTAATTAAAAGAAAACTAAATGAAAACCCACAGTCTGTCTTTGAGAGACAGGGAAAACCCAGATTGTTTTGAATAATTAAAACACGATGCAACTTATGTCTGAGAATTCTGAATTTAGTTTGCAATCCTGACATTATTATTGAACATTGTCTCCTTAATGACTATGTTCTCAATCTGGAAGGGCTGCTGTGTTGTTACATCTGACTGGAAATTAAACTAATTTTATTAATCTGCTACAGTTTTTATATTGCATCGGTTGTTTCCTGCAAAAAAGAAAACTGTCTAGCTCCCAGTGTACAATGTTTCTACGTCATTCAAGTTAGATTGCAGCATTGTATTTCATTGGGTATTGTTCTAAAAATCTTAACATAAATTATAACTGCTTCAAAATGGATCAGCCAGATAGCAAAAATAGACAGCTGCTATATTAGGTGATGAAAGAGTTTCATCCTCTACTGCAGCGGTTCTCAACCTGTGGGTCGCGACCCTTTTGGGGGTCGAACAACCGTTTCACAGGGGTCACCTAAGACCATCGGAAAACACATATTTCCGATGGTCTTAGGAACCGAGAGACCGCTCCGCATCCGTCTCCGCATGGCCTCCTCCGCCATTTGCAGAGAGAGAGACAGAGAGGCACTTTCGCTTCCCTTCTCTCTCTCTCTCAGGCGGACCTACCTCCTGCAGGGCTCCTGATTGGCCCTGTGCCCGGGTGCCCACCCCCTGGGAGAAGCGCGGCCAGGGCCTCGTGGCCTTGGAGCCGCCCGGGGAAGCCCCGGGATCCCTGCTGGGAGCGGCCCACTGGAGGCTCCGCTGAGCAGGCCAGCCCTCCCGCAAGCTGTGGCCCAAGGGAGACCAGCCCCTGCGATCCCCAGCCAGCAGGACCATTGGACCCGCTGGCCAGGAAGACGTCGGAGTCCAGGCTGCCAGGAAGGAAGAAGGAGATTCAACAAAGGTAGGAGAGGAGAGCTGCCTCCTGGGGCCCAGCGCTGGTGGCGGCTTCCTTGCCATCCTCTTCCTCCTCCCCTTCTTCCTCCTACTGCCCCCAAGGCGGCTCGGGCGGGCGCCGGGGCAAAAGGGGTGCCGGGGGGAGCAGCCGGGCTGGCGGAGGGGCTGGTGGGCCGTGCGGCACCAGCCCCCACCGCGGCTCCATCGAATGGGCGGAGGGCGAGGCCAGGCAGTGCGGGGGCGGCAGGGACCCCCGACGATGCTGCCGTAAGAGAGAGAGAGAGGAAAGAGAGGAAAGAGAGAGAAACAGAGGAAAAGAGAGGAAAGAGAGAACGAGAAAGGGAGGAAACAGAGAAAGAGAGAGAGAGGAAAGAGAAAGAGATAAAAAGAGGAAAGAGAAAGAGAGAGAGGAAAGAGAGAAACAGGAGAGGAAAGAGAAAAAGAGGAAAGAGGGAAAGAAAGAGGAAAGAGGGAGAGAGGAGAGAAGAAAGAGAGAGAAAGAAAAGAGAGAGGAAAGAAAAAGAGAGGAAAGATAATTTGGGGGTCGACCAGAAGGGAACCGGGTCTGATAAGGACGAAAGTTGAGTGAGGTTTTCCCCCTCGCCCCTCTCTCCGCCTCCCTTTGTGCAGCGGCGTCTCTGGCTGCTGCCTTCCCAGTCGCCGAGAAAGGGAAAAAAAGAGCCGTGAGCGAGTTCCCCTTTCTGCCTCGTTGCTGAAAGCTTTTTTTTTTAAACGACCGCTCGTTCAGAACTCCTCGGGGCTTGTTTGCACGAGCTTGTGGCAGATCAATAAATAAAGGGGTGGGGGAGCCAAACCGTCCAAGGCGTTTGCACCCTGAATGTGTGGACGCTACTTTCATGACTTGCCACCACCCCCCCTCTCTTCCCGCCCTGCTCGGGCAACGCGCTGCTGCTGCTGCTGCTGGCTGAGCTGAGGCGCTGGAGCCTCCCCCGCGCCGCCCGGCCCGCCTCCCTTGCCGTCGGAGGGCATCTGTGTGTGTCTCCAGACCTTACTGGACTACCATCCCCAGCAGCCCTAAAAAGCACTGTGGAAGAGTGGGGAATGCTGGGAGTTGCAGTTCATCACCATCTGGAAAAACATGACTCTCCAAAGATCAATCCTTCCTTCCTTCCTTCCATCCATCCATCCATCCATCCATCCATCCATCTCCTTCCCTTCCCCTTCAATCTTTCCTTCCTTCCTTCCTTTCCCCCTCAATCTCCTTCCTTCTCCATCTCCTTCCTTTCCCCTTCAATCTTCCTTCCTTCCATCTCCATCTCCATCCCTTCCCCTTCAATCTCTCTCTCTCCTTCCTTCCTTCCTTTCCCCTTCAATCTTCCTTCCTTCCTTCCATCTCCATCTCCATCCCTTCCCCTTCAATCTCTCCTTCCTTCCCCCTTCAATCTCCTTCCTTCTCCATCTCCTTCCTTTCCCCTTCAATCTTCCTTCCTTCCATCTCCATCCCTGTCNCTTCCTTCCTTCCTTCCTTCCTTCCTTCCTTCCTTCCTTCCTTCCTTCCTTCCTTCCTTCCTTCCCCTTCCCTCCCTCCCAACATTTTTGAGCAAGGAAGAGTAAGCTTCTCCAGCGAGCATTGCTATATTATTTTTGTGATTAATCACTATGCTTTAATTATGTTCAATTCTTAACAATGAAAATACACCCTGCATATCAGATATTTACATTACTATTCATAACAGTAGCAAAATTACAGTTATGAAGTAGCAACGAAAATAATTTTATGGTTGGGGGTCACCACAACATGAAGAACTGTATTAAAGGGTCGTGGCATTAGGAAGGTTGAGAACCACTGTTCTACTGGCAGAGCTATCAAATCTAGAATGGAGAAATATGGATGCTCACCAGGTGGCAGCAGAGTGCCATAGATTTCTGGGAAAAGGTAGACTAGAAAACCTGAATTTGAAGCGAAATTTTAAATCCTACCTAGGTTGAAACTCCAGATTCCACAAACCTCCAAATATTCTGATTTTAAAAAACACCCTCACGTGATGAAAAATAAAATGTATCTGTATCTGTTAATTTGCTTTGGCTTAGCACGTAGTTTCTAGTTAGTCATTAAATTGTTTTTGCTGCTATGAGACCTTGAAGAAAATGCCAGATACATTCCGTAGACAAACAAATAAATGGTGCATATTAATTGTTACTGACAGGTGATGATAGATAAATGACAGATATAAATTGAAATCAATGAAAATACCAGAACTATTCTAATAATCTGTCTAAACATGTTGACATACTGACATATTGGTCAAGGTCTGACATAACAATAAATATGCTTTTTGCCTCCTTTTTTATTAATGTTTTTACAGATAAGCCTAGAAATTGATTCTATTACATTCAATAACAGTTTTACTGAAAAAAGTAAATTCAGGACTGTAGCTTTACATTATAGAAATGTCTTAGGAAATAACATGATTGTGTGGGATAGTATTGGATTTTATATATATAATTAGTCTAAAAATTTGAGTCCCAGGTATACTTATTTCTAAAAGAGACATATTAAAACACTGATCTCCAGGACAGAGAGTTTTTGAACGCGTTATAGGTCCGCCTGCCTGCCGCCCGCCCCTGATTGGATGCATCAACCTTAATTCGTCAAACTGTGAGGGTGGGGGGAGTGATTGCAGGGCGACATCGGATAGTCTGCTGTCATACGACAAACATGCCCAGCCGGTGGGGCAGGTGGGGAGAGATAGAGCTGAGAGAGCAAGGTGAACGCCGACCAATATAACCGAATTAAGGTTGATGCATCCAATCAGGGGCAGGTGGCCCTATACAGTATTCAATGGCCAAATTACTGATACTTAAAGAACTATAAAGGTGAAACCTACCCAATGTTAGCTTACACTTTGACAACATTAGCAGGGACTAACGAAAGCTTAGTATACAATAAAAACTCTCTGTCCCAGAGATCAGTGTTTTAATATGTCTCTTTTACAAATATATATATACTAAATGCTTGCAATTGAAGTCAGAACCCATCAAATTACTTCTTTTTCCTTATGTCAATTTATGGGGCAAAACATATAGGATTTTTTTTAAAAAAAATCACTTATTATTTTAATTGGTTAGGTGGAATTATTAACAATAGATAATACAATCATAATATAAATTCTATATATTATTGGCAATTTTTCCCAGGGTTGTGTTCATTCCAACCAAGGACACACAGGTTGTCAGACAGAACTGTGTGAGACTAGGAAATAAATCTGCAGGAAGCTCACTCTGTAGGGCTGTCAAGCAAAGGGTTGCAAAGTGATGAAAGAAAATATATATGCACAGATGCACACAGCATAGCAAAAACAATTGCTTCTTTAATAAAGACCAATGCTGCTTTTGAAAAGCTGGCTGAGGGTTTCAGTATTAATTTCATTTTTTTCTAGTCACAGTTTTTTATAAATGAAAATCGATTTGTTGATTTCACAATATTTGTTCAAAAGCAAACTACTAGACACTTTAAATATAATTTTGAAAATGATACAACCTTCTAGTTCTAGGTTCTAGTTCAACCTTCATTATGTTTTTTTTTTTTAAAAAAAGATGGCATATATGTTATTGCAACTGCAGTTAATGACTTATTTTCAGGAAAATTATTTTTATAATGGAGAAGACACATGCAATCCATACATAGGGTAGCATAAGGAACACATCATTTGTCACATAGCTTTCCTATATTTCTCAATTTGCTCACTGCAGGAAGAAGGGGGAACTGAAAGAGCTAGTTTTCCTCCTGAAACTTGAATGTTGTGTGCTAAATCTTTAAAAAAATGATCAGTTAAAAAAGTAGAAAATCACACTATCTAATAAAAATTCAGTGAATAAAACAAACCAAATTGATTTGCTGTTAGTTTTGTTGTAGTCTAATCAAGTGGAAAATGAGCAATTTTTAAATGATTCCCTCTAGGCCAATGCTCTGGAATCTTATGGAAATTAAAATATGAAATTTCTACAACGAGTGTCTTGAGTAGTAAAAGCAGCATTAAGTACCAACCTGTCTTTCTGTGATTTTTAGATTGAGTCTCAAACCACTGAACTAATTTCCTTTGAATCAAAAGGGTATTAAATTACCTAATATTATTGAGGATTATAAACTTGGACCCAGAATATTATCAGACAATATTTCATTAATATTTTTGCCTTACAAAAATCTTGTTTCCAACAATAAAAAAAATTGTTCCATATTCTACATAATATAAAAATGCAATGCACCTTACTGCTTAGTTTAATTGACTGTGGTGGATAAAAGCCCATGTGAAGTTTTATCTCTACTTCTCCTTCTTTCTTAAATAAAAGCTAAAGTCAAAACAGAGCTTATTATAACCATACCAGCAAAGTCTTTCATATTAAAGCAAAGGCTGAGAAAGCCTTGAGTCAAGATAATTACTGAACAATGATATTTTTATTTATAATTAAATTATTAAAGAAAATAGGATGATAAAAATATCTACTGCTCTCTTGTACTTTTTCTCCTTTGCTCTCTCTATTAATTAGAGACTACAAAGATGGCCCACAAATTCCAACCAGCATTTGTCATGAATGTTACAAATCATGACAAACTAGACTTAATGTGTTCAAGAGGTATAGTTTGGGAGGTTTAATTGTGACCTTTTAAAACAAAGTCACTCCAAAATGAATAAAAATCTGCCATGATCCAGAATTGAAGCTATATCGGTTATCTCTGTCGATTCTTACCTTTTTGTTGTTCTCCTTAATGTCTTGAGGATTCAGGGACTTGTAGTCACTGAGGGGGAAAATAGCACAGTGGGTATGTAAAATACTTTTATGGAAAAAAAGCATCCATTTTTAAAACAAACCACAATTTATAGCAAATTATAATTTAACATAAAACACCAGTGTACAGTAACTACCAATTTCACAGCGATCAGGAAAGCTAATAGTGTAGAAAATTAAAAGAATAAATGCATAAATATAAATAAATGTAAAGATTGTCTGTTTCATTGCCTGAAGTTTTCTATGTCAAAAGAGAAGTTAATTTATGCAGGGATTTCAGGCTAGGTATGACAACCAAATTTGCCATCAGGTCATTTTTTGATGGCACATGAGAGCTACAGGATTATTGTCCCATCTCATTTAAACAGTAACCTAATTTTCATAAAGATCTTGAGGTCAGTTGCTTTCTTGTGGTTAAAAAGAAAAAAAGGAATGCATACAAAAATGAGGAATCAGCATATGGTTTTAGAACAAAGACTTAGAAATGGCACAATATAAAGTTATTTACCCATTTCTGACCCACTCCACAAGATGGCACTTTAGAAACTGAAAATGAACAAAAGTAAGAAATGGGACAGTTTAAATGTAAAATGTTCCTACTTACATTAAGTCAGGTCTAAAGTGATGTAATATTGCACAAAAGGATAAACCATTTCTCCAAGATGTAGTGAAATTGGTGATTTTTACTCCTCGGTAGTTTTTTGTAACTTCTTTACACCAAACAAGCAATGACTGACTAGCATTTGGCTTTCTCCCCAAAACAGGACTTGGTAATGGGCTTGGCTGGAAAAAAAAAATCAGAGAAAATGGGAAACGCATTAAAGAATTAAATGGGAGATGAAAATTAACATTAATTGAACTAACTGGATGGTTTGCATCCTTTGATGTCAGTTAAGGTCCTTCACAGCTGTCAGTTTACAATCAGAGTAACTTGGAAAAAGACAGAAATTCAAGTCATTATCTAGAGACTTAGCCCTTGGCTCTTGTCTCTGAAAGATGTGTTACACGGGATTCCAATTTTACATGAGAACTGGCCAACTGCATTGATGAAACTACTAGCATAAATTGCTTAAAGTCTTAAGGCACATAGTTGTGTAGTCTAGTGATGTTACACACCCATATGGAGATTGTTCAAAATCAAGTCATGTAAAAGCATCCCTGAGGTCAAAGCTGATCGTAATTTATTTCACAGGCATGTACCTGCACACACGCTGACATACACACATAAATTAAAGTCAAAATATAGGCAATACTATGAAAATCAAATGAAGGCCCAACATGAAATGATAGAAAATGGTGTCCTTTTGAAACATCAGCACCTATTCTTTCAGCTTTTCTAAAAAGAAAAGTTAAAAATTACTCTTGCCTTACGGCCGTTTCTTTCATGCTTAAAAATATTTCTTACATGTGCTTAACTGGTGAGAGCTGCTCATCTGGAATGCATCCAAAACTTTCAAGCATTAGTGTAAAAAAAAAGAAGAAAGAAAGAAAAAAAGGATGACGGTCATTCATGAACATTAATGTGATTATTTGGCTTTGGAAAAAAAAAATCCAATACGCATGCATCCAGAATGCCAAATGTGCAGAGACTGTCAAATTGAGAGGTTAAAAGAAATGTTACTTGGTAGTTCTCAATGGCATTATTTTAGAAAGAAATAGATCTATCCAGACTATGTTTCAAAGACCAATGATGCCCCCACTTGACTAAAGCTTGCCAGTGCTAAGCAATTAAAGCTGTCAACTTCATACATATTATGATTTATGCTTTTAGTGCTTGTGGGGCAGACTGCTTCCAGTTATTGTAACAGAAGTAGTACATAGGCAGTTTATCATTTTTATTGACTGTTAGACTAGCAACCTGTGGTTAAATAAACAAACCCACAGATAACGTAGGATGATGCTACATAACTCGCATATGCCCTTCAGCAGCACAGATACACAATGCCAGGTAATTTGCAAAATTTTAATGTCACTGCTGTTTAAAGTTTTAATACTTGGATGTAGGCCTGCAATAATGATGAATAAGTGCAAGTAGCAAGGAATGACTGATTTTTCTAGCGATAAAATACCTCATCAACAAACAGTGTAATAATAGGTAAGCCAGTGTAAAAGTAAGAACTACAGTCTAAGGGTCTTCTTATGAGGTAAATGGGTACAGGATAAAAACCTAAAGCATTTACAAATAATTATAAGAAAGCAAAGAACAGGAGAACACTGCAATTTTCTCTTTAGCTTCAAGCAGCAAAGCATTTAAGACTTGTTCTGGGATAGATAAGACAAAATGAAACGGAATGGTCTGAAGTTAACCACATTAGAGGCTGGGCAAAAACTCAAATTTATTTATTTGTTTGTTTGTTTGTTTATTACAACTCTGTAAAGTGAATTAGGCTGAGAGTGACTGGCCTAAATCACCCAACTGACTATCATGGCCAAGGTGGGACTTGAATTCATGGTCATTTGCTTTCCAGCCTGGTGTCTTATTACAAATCAAATGTTAAAAAGTGTACACTATACACACAATACAACTGCATTGCTTTTATTTTGAAAGTGACTGCTATTCTTTTTTTTCCAACTTACGTATGCCTATGCGTGCCGATACATCTTCACAGCCCGATTGGTTCAGCCCTCCACAACAATCTCAGTTTCTCATGTGGTTCCTTGGGAAAATTAATTGCCCACCCCTGCTTTATGTGATTAGAAGCACATAAAGCCCCCTGGATGAAGACACAGTTGTGTAAGGTACCTGATCTGGACAAAATATTTAAATACTTAAGTATTTTGGCCTAATTAAGCTGAGAACATAGTTCTTTGCCTAGCTACCTTCAATTATTATTTTTTCAGGTCAAAATATGCAGTGTTGATGAAATAAAATTTCTAGGGACAGAAATGCACCCTTTCCCAAGTTTGTTCACTATCTGAAGCTCTTCAGTGATATTCTTACCAATACCAGCAATTGCTTTCCTCCTCCTGAGTTATATAGTCTGGGTTCCCACATTCAATAAATCATTATCACTGCTATGCCAGAGTGATAATAAACAATCAGCTTGAAAAGTAATGCCTGTCCTGGAGCACTAAAAGCTAAGATGTTCCCTCCATATGCTTTTAGCTGAAATTCAAATGATTGATGGCAAAACTATTTTAATACCTCTACTGCAGAATTCTAATGGAAATGAATAATTGGTTAATGTCAGTGAGGAAATGAAAAGACAACGTATTTTAAACCACTATCTCTTTGGATTTGCCAATTGTCTATACAAATTAACTCTGCTCAGAACTGAAATTATAAAAATAAAAGTTGTGTGCCAAAATATCTAACTAGAACCTGCCTAGTATGTCTAAAACCTAGATGCAGTTTCAACATGCATTTCAACCACACCCAAGAGCATGCAAAATGGAGACTGCGTTCTGTAATTACAGACATTATGAAGTCTTCATCTAATAGTGACTTTTTTGGGGATTTGATACATGGAGTAGAGTAAGTGAAGAAACAAGATTCAGTAGAGCAATGGGTAAATTGTTTACTATTAACAAACACATTTGTTTTCAGTAATAGTCAAGCAAAGAATAACAATAGCAGGCTATATTGCATCTTTGGTTAGAACAGTAGACACACAAAAATGCAGCAGAAAATATGACAATTTTTTTTCCAGAGAACATCTGCAATACTCCCTCAAGTAGTTGCATTATAAGATTCTATTTCTGTTTGGCAAGACTCTACAATAATATTGAATTGTTGTAAGAAGTTACTTATGTTTGGAATGTGGCAAACAATTGGGCAAAGATTAATTTAGCTTGGGAAACAATTATCTATGCTTACTGAAGCTTGAATTGGTACTGGATGTTCACATAATCAGATCTTTTATCCTATAAAGATGAAGGGCAGGTCCTGGTTTGTATTCCAGGATTTTCCAATTATAATTCTAATATTATATCTGAAGAGCACTCAAGGAAAGAAGTGAAACAGAGAAGGCTGCATAGGTTATAACTGATATAATATCCTAAACCTGGAAACAAAGTCATCTCTCTAGCATGTGTATATCTATCGGAAAGAGGCAAGCAGGCAGTATTTTAATCATATTCTTTCCTTTATAAGAGTTAAGTTTGCATCTTAGGATTTTTATTTTATTTATAAATACAAACCCATACATACACACATACACACACACAATCAAAATATATTTTGTCTTGTGAATTTAATTAGCGAACATACATTGTATATTTTAATAATTGAGAAATTTTGCTTTATACAGGTGAAATCAACTCATCAGTTTAACAAAGTTAAAACATGTTCTTTGGGCTGGCAGATGTGTAAAGGTATTTTAGAATGGAAGGTGACAGCACCAAGGTTAGGAATCTGCAGGAAGGGAGCAAGGGAGAAATGATGAAATATGTCTTATGACATCACAGGACAAACCCCTTGACTTTCATATTTCCAAAATTAGGACATCAGTACAATGAGAGGGATTTGTACTGTGTCATAGTGACAAACTTTTCATAATTTTTAATCAGGCGATTAGTGGTAGGCCTCATCCAATCTTGAAAAATTAAGTAGTTTTTGGTTAGTATTTGGGATAGCAGTAGAAGACCTACAGAATAGATTAGCAATTAAAAAAGAAAAGAAAACCTTGTAAGAATATATCTTCTTACTGTATTGTGGCCAAGAATGTGACATGTAGTCCCTAAGAGTTGCACTTATTTTACACTTGCAACCCAAAAAAGTGCTTTAAGACCTAAAAAAGGGCCTAGGTATAAGCTGGTATATGCTTGTATTTGCTTATAACATCTATTTTTGTCTAAATATAATATTCGGTGTTCAGTTGAAACCTGATCTGTAGACATCTGTTCAATACATGGCATGATGCTTATATTGAAAAATATGGACAATGATGGTGAAATTCTTCAGAGGTTTTGAGAGTTAGCTGTCAATCATACACTCGGAAAAATGAATGTGCTAAGTTTGAATCTTGCTTTTTCAAGATGTGCTTAAATATAATGTGATCAGTCTATATATACCTAACTATTCGAGGAAGTTATTAAAGGTATTAAGTGCTAGAAATATGTCCTCTTAGTCAAGGAGCTTGCAAGATTCATGATATACAGATAGATTGCTAAGTTCTCTGTACACTTTCTAATTATATTTAGGCTGCAATCAATTTCATTGTCATCCTGATTTCACATTTCAGTGGTTCTGTAACTCCAACAACATGTGCTCATTTCAACCAATAAGAACTATGTGATGCAATTAAAATAAATATGTCCCATCATCCCAGCTGCCCTTTGTTCACCTCATTATTGCTGTGATCAAATTGTAGGTTACAAACTAGGTTCTCTTTATGTATGCAAAAATTGTAAAGGACAGATAGAAAACCTTTCGCAATAAATGACTTTAAGCATCAGAAAGAAAGAAAGGCTAGAGCTCTAACAAACACCAGAAGCAAGACTCTTGAGTCAAGGCTGTTCCAGATGTCTTCATGGAACATCCATTTTAGTATTTAGAGCAGTGGCCCCCATCCTTTTGGGCAACAAGGATTGGTTCTGTGGAGAGAGATTTTTCCACAGACCGGAGGGGGTGTGGTTTCATGTGCTGCCTGCATCCTGCGGATGGGGCTTTGCTTGTTTGCGCAGCCCAGTTTCTGGCATGCCACGGACCGGTACCAGTCCATGGACCGGGGGTTGGGGACCCTTGATTTAGAGCAAAAGGAACCGTTTTGTCACTATGTTCTACCATAATTTTTTGATTCTTTAATCTAGCTCATAATTTAGGAATCTCCTGCTGGTCTCCC